CCCCAAAACCCCAAAACCCCAAAACCCCAAAACCCCAAAACCCCATGAATCCAAGCCTGGGTTGAAATAAAATTATTTTATACCATAATGGACTCACCCACTTCACCTATGATCCAACCTGGATCCGGCCAAAACTCCTTTACACGATATCTTCAGCCAGAAGACTGTGCAGAGAGCTTCCAGACTAGACGTTATAGGTCAAATGTCTTATTTTCAGAGAAAATAGAGGATATGTATCAACAAAGCGCTGATTTATGCATTAACAAGGAGCAGATTTAAGCCTAAGAAGAGAATCCATCAGCTGGATTATAACCTAGAGTCAGCATTGAGGGTAAAAATCTATCTCTGAAGTCTTCACTATGCACGAATTCGTCATAAAATATGAGTGGCTAGACTTCCTTGATTATTAGGTTATTTTTATGATATTTTCATCAATTTTCGAGTAGCTTTTGATTAGTTTTCGATAGAGTGCAAGTAAAAATCAGGAGGAAGAGCTACCAAAAAGAGCATATTTGGAAGAGCAAAAAGTTACTAATAATGACAAAGGCTACCTCTTTACACCAAGAATTACCACTGAAGAGAAATTAAGTAAGTTTGTGCAATACTAGTAGGTAATTTTCTGAATATAGTTCATGTCACTCTTTCAATTTTAACGGAAAGTCTTGAATTATGCATGACCATATCTATAGATTGAATTGCAGAGCCAGGACCAGTTAATCCAAAGAACTCACATATCTCACATAATGCCAATACTTTGGCATCTACTATGGAAAGAGTTTTACTGCATGACCATGACGAAGTCATTTATGCTGATAAAAATCACAGAGATATAAAATGTAAGACCTTTGTTTCTTCCAGTAAGAGGTGCATAACCCCCATCGGGCGATGCTAGACTAGATCGATATTGCTTTTTCTTTAAGAAGCAGCTACATTGCTTTAAAATAATATGATAAAAACTTGAAATATCTAACAGCTAATTATACCCATTCCAAAAGAAAGCTTAGGATTGTTTATTCTTTGTGTTGACGTTTCATAAATATTTTGAGGAAATCTTTGGATTAACACCAGTTGCATTCGAGTATTCTACTCGGGTGTTAAGCCTCATCCAAAGGTTAACAAAGGGCCCAATAGGATTAGTACTAGTATCTTAAAGTTATCTTTAATTTCTAAAATAACATCCTCTATAAATTAATAGAGTGTTTGAAATTCCTAATGAGAAGAATTTATCGAAACTAATCACTCTGAGTGAACTCGCGCTACCTTATTTCTGAGCATCCAAAATGAGATGATTTATAGTACACCAAACGCTCCAGCCCCTGTCTCAGCCTTTAAGATTCACAGACAAGAAAGGATGAGCTAAATTCCCGGCTCAAGCTTTTGGTAAGGAGTTCAAGCCCAATGAATTTTTCTAAATCTTGTTTGGCTTCGCTTCCAAAGAATAATTACTGCAAGTGAACTTTATCTGGATATTCAAATTTGTTGGAAATTCATTAGTCGATAAAGCCTTAGTGCAATGAGCGTGCTTAACATCGGCTTAGAAATAGTTGAGTAGAAATAAAGTACTGACAGTATATTAGAGAAGCAATTGCAATTAATTATGAGTGTTGTAAACTTTAGACAAGTTGCTTTATGGTATAGAGAGTCTAGTGAATTTCAACAAAGTAAAATTTCTAGCAGGCTTTGAATTAGTTTACTCTAAAGTACGCTTCCTTTATCACACTGTCCTTACCAAAACTTCTTAACCTCAGTTAAACTTCATCCAAACAAAGCATTTTTGATATCTCCAAAAACCCACTACCATCTCCTTCTCACCTTATTCTCTCTAGACACCTCCAATCAGCCTCAAACCCTCTCCAAAATTCAAAACAAGAGATACCAGATAATCCTTGATGACACCCTCGACCAAATCCTCTCCCTTTCACCCTCAAAATCCCCAAAATCCTCAATCCTGCACTCAACTCCCTCCGAATCCTTTTCTAATTACTCTTCTGAAGAAATAGAGATCCCTATCGAGCAAGAGGAAGAGGAAGAAAAGGAAATCTTCTTAGTTCAACAAGTTAATTCGTCTGAAGAGAGTAACCACATGAAAGACCGTGTAGAAGCTAGTCTTAGTGAAGCAGCACAGGTCCAAACTGTTGAAGCTCAAGCAGAAGGTGAAGCAAAGGAAGTTAAAAAGAAGCTCAAGAGTATAGGACAGTACTATCAACCAAAAAGACTGAATCTCAAGCAAAAATTTTCAAGGTAAGTGGTTTCGAGTATTTTATGTAGAGGATCAAGTGAGAAGGAAAAAGGCTTTAATGGGAAATTTGAAAGAGAAGATACTCAAAAGAGTTCCCTTGTTGATACATTTAAACCTACCCAAAATGAAAGCATTTGAAAAATAAATACCTGAATTAAATCAAATCTAAAATATGAGACACCTCCAAAATTAAAATTTTCATCCCAAAAGATAGATATCCAAAAAGCAATACCTACCAACCTCAGCCCTCAAAAATTACTCAAAAATATCTCTCCTCAAAAAGCGACACTTCCTTGCTCAGCCAAAGTCCAGCCTTACAGCCAGAATTCCACTCAAAAATCCAAAAATCCTGCACAAAAGGTAAGATTTCCTTATATTTTCCAAACTCTCTAAATTCCAATTCATCACAGCTAGAAAGGGTACATCTTTTGAATTTTCTATTGAAACTGGCACCGGTTCTTCTTAAGAAAACTATCTTGTTCAGCCTGGTTCTGGTCCAATATTCTAAGTTCAGGGATCTAAAGATAGACTCAAAGTTTTAACCATAGATCGAGCAACAAGATCAGCCTTGAAATTAACAAGCCATGCTTCTCTGAAGTGAATGAAGATCGGAGCGGGAAACATTCAAGCATTGCTAGTCCTATTGCTCGCTTGAATAACTGTCAAAGCCGGACTTACATCGAAACATTTATTAGTGTGCAAGAAGGGCCGGCAGAGTTATTCCCGAACCAGAACCCTAAAGTGCATAACCATCAATTGTTCAACGGTAAGTATTGTATTTATTCCAAAGGTAGCGGTAAGAAAGAACAAGCCCTCTCAAAATATATTGACCCGTTATTGGTAAGTAGAAATTGACAGCTAAATTTTCTTGTTTGGACAAATGGATAATCTCGAATAGTGCCACCAGCAATTCAGAAACACTGGATGATGCACAGATAGAAATAACAGAAAAACAAATTTTAATCGTGATAAATACCCTTTAGAGGGTGGACAACCTAAGGATTGTGACTTAACACCACGTAAAAGAGACGAGAGGTTGTACCGATGTGTTGCTGAAGCACTGACTCCCAATAGACATCTTCTCCAAAGGTAAGACATCACAGGCTCATAATTTCTTTCAGGAAACAGCTTAATGTTTCTAAATAATACCTCTAAGCCTAAAGTCATTATTGGCGATTTTCAAGATTCAAGATTTTTCGAAGGTACAACTGAGAGTTTCCAAAAAGCAAGAAGAGCAGGAAAGGTTATGCAAAAACTTATGGAAACGAGTAAGTTTTGTAAGGAATATCTGGTCTATAGACTCTAGTCAAGAAGAAGACTCACATGATGCATATGTGAATTCTCCATACATCAGGGCGTCTAATTTCAGATCCCAAAAATAAGACTTAGTTATGCAATTTTTCAACATTTTCCTTTAAAATTGGGGTTTTGGGGTTTTGGGGTTTTGGGG